TTCATCATGTTTTTATTAAGTATAGCTCAGTTATTGCTTTTCTTGTTTTCTCTGCACAGAACAAAAGCCTAAAATGTTGGGTCATAAATTTGATGACAGAGCAATTGTGAGTGGAATTCCTGGGCAAAGTAATGCAAACTGAGACTGAATTTAAATAATGTAAATACTGAATGAGATAAGTATACAGAGAAAAGATAAATCTATAGAATGGAAATGTAAGGATTTAATAATAAATGAATAATTCCTGATTTGGTTGAATAGAAAAGCAGTTTGAAGCAAATAAAACACTAATTTTCTGCTCTCATGCATAACAGATGTTATTTTTCAATATTCTTTTGATGTATGATTTAAAAATTCTCATCACTCTTTCCAATTTTGGGACAAATAAAATACAAAAAACTTATTACTGTCAATATTTTAATTAGTCATCCTTTAATGAATATAGCAAGATTAGAAATTATATTGTCTGTGGGGAAAATGAACAAAAATCAATAATATTAAAATGAATAATAATAATAAAAGAAAGAAATACATTTTTCATGATGCTAGTAGTAAAGGAACAAGAAATATGATTACTCCACTTGGCTTCATCAAATGCCATTATGTAGTGCTGGTTAAGCCTATAAAAAGGCAAACATTTTCTTGCCTCATTCTTTTTCACCACTTGCTCCAAGATGTAGCACCATGTGGAAATTATGTCCCCACTGGGACATGTTCATTTACCTAATCCACTGAAGGCTGACATCTCTCTCCATTTTCAAATACATGGCATTCTCATGTGTCTTCCAAAACCTCCACCTATGAACAAAATCACCTTTTTTCTTTGGTCGTTTCATCTGTGCCAGGCTGACTAGAGCTCAAACATTATAAAATTCTCATCTTTACTTACACTATCTTCTCAGCCAAGTACAAGAAAATGGTCATGCCATAACTTCCAACAATGAATTAAATACAAAATTTTCTTTGGTTGCTCCAACTCCTCACAAGGCTGACTTGGGTATGACAATTATCATGATGCTTTTACTTACCCCAACTCCAGCAGTAACAAAATTACAAAAAAATTGTTGTACATAAACTTTGGCAAAACATATTTTAATATAATTGATATTCCACTTCCTGAATTCTGTGAGCACTTATTTAATAAAGTTCACCAATTGCAAGGCTCAAGCTGAATAGTAATGATAATAGATAAGATATCCATTTTAAAGAATTAAAATAAAAGTCCAGAATTAATTATAGGTTTCCAACAAAAAAATGATACAGTTGTAGCACTCACTAGATTATCAGCAACATAAACTTGTGTTTGCTGAACTACCATCATCATTTCTCAGTGGATTGCATTCACTCTCCTCAGGGCAATACTCCAAAGATGCACATCTTGATTTCTCTTTGAAATTCAAAAGCCATCTTTTCATTAGGCAAAAGGTTTTCTACAGTAATAAATGATACAACACATGGTGTTTCAACCAAATTTTATTGTCTCCAACAGGGAAATGTTGCTGACCACTTGTCAGTGATGGGAAGGGTACAAAGAATTTTAATTTTTTTTTCTCTAGCTTAGGCCATCTGCTCACTGCCAAGACAAAAACCTCACTAAAGAATTTTTGAGGGAGAAATTCCTTTTTCTTTTAATCAGAAAATCTCACCTTCTAGTTAGTTGCTGATTAGTCAATTCATGGACCAATGAAAAGACCTTACCATATCCCACTTTTTCTTGTTTTTTTTGAGGGATTTGTGACTTTGAACTGACCCTGTCAAATATATCTTATTTCAGAAATGTGATATGTTTCCAACAACTTGTGTGGCATTTTCTTAATACTTAACCTTAAATTACTCTCCTTTATTCTACACCCATAATGTTATATGTTAATTTTAGGTTTATTAAAAAAACTGGTATTATAATTATATAAAATCTGATATTAATTATAGGTTTCTACCAATAAACTCAGTTTAAAGACCATGGTACTTAATGAGTAAATACTGAAATAATGCTAACGATTTACTTGTGTCTAATGATAGTGTGTTTGGACAGGAAAGTTTCCCCACAATAAAACTAAATTTACACAGATCACCACTGGAAATATAATAACTAAACAAATTTACATGCCAACGGAAAAAAATGCTCTTAAGAACTAAGTTGATTTTTTTTTTGTGTTAAAAAAAATGTGTATCCAAGCTATATAAAGCAAATGTTTGAAATTTAATAGTGTTTGAACTTGTAAAAATGAATTTCTTATTTTTTAACATTTGTTTTCTTATGAAATTGGATTCTCACAGAACCTTTAGCCCAGGGGCCTACAAAAAACTTAAAGCAGAACTGCATGCATGTTAATTTTAGAGTAGTTAATCTTTATGCTAATGTCATGAATGGGAAGGAAATGACAATAATTGTTGATATTTATGATGCTGATTTTAGGAGGTGATCAAGACATGAAACCATAATATTTTGCCTCGATTTCATATCCATTTGACCCTCCAATTAATAAGTGAGACAATATACATAATTCTGATTCATTGTTGCATTAAAACCCACCAGGCAGAAGAAAGAAAGAAACAAAGAAAGAACATAATATTCATTAGCAGGTTGCTATGATGGCTAAAAGGTCACTTCTGTAGCAGATTGCCATTATGCCCTTATCAGTATGGTTGCTGTGGCACAAAGACTGGTTTCCCAAAGGAAAAGAGATGTGAGTTCAAGTCTCACAGGGGTTATACCATTTATTTCTGATTGGCATTTCTAACTGATAGTCATAGAATGAGTAAAGTTGCAATAGAAAACAATTGAAATCAAGATGGAAGAAATACAAAGCAAGCATTTGTGATATATAAAGTTTGACAGTAACTGAACAAAAAACAAATATATTTGATATTCTACTTCCTGAATTCTGTGAGCTACTTCAGCCACACTGAGGCCCTGTTTAAAATAATACCTCAAAATTATCAGAATCTCAATAATTGTATCTTTAGTTAAAACGTCTGGAAAAAAAGAAATCATTAGAGATGAATAATTTTGAAGATAATAATAATATTAATGTAGTGCGGTCATAAGTAGCCTTTAAATGTATATATGAAATAAGCTTTGGAGTAAAGGTCAGTGTAAAACAAGAATATTTTGATACATATATTTGGGTGTATTTAAATTTTTGCATGTTGTTTGTATAGCCCCTTCACGCTGGGAGGTCTTGAGCGACAGCATCAATTTGATAATAAATTTGCATTCTTCAATTATGGCTGGTGATTGCTAGCTGCATTGAGTCCAGAGATAAAAAAAAAAAAGCTTCAACACAGGGAATTTTAAACTAGGTATTTTATTAATATTCATGTCAACATGTTCTATCTATCCAGTGGGAGTCATTCCCCCTCACTGGGGAGCCATTTCAAACATAAAAGAAACTCTGTCGACCTTGTTTGATGGTTAAGACTTGACTCACTGAAACCTTTCTCCCACTGGCTCAGTCAATCAAAATTGACTTCCCATAATATGGCTTGTATCTGACCTTGAAAGTCAACCTCCAGAAGTTGCAGCTGAGATAGAATTCCCCCTAAAAATAAGTCTGCTAAACTATTATTTAAGAATATGTCAAACCAGTATAGTTATAAATACATGGTAACACAGAAGAGCAAGCAAAACAACAGTACCACTGGTGAAGTGAAAGGAAAAAGACAAGAACTATGAATATATAATAATTCATTTCTATTGCCAATACAGCAGATGTGAGCAGAATGTCTCTCACTCTTGGCATGGGTAACAGCTTTGAGGATAGGGTAGAGTTGGTAAGGCCTGGAGTTTATATATTTGTTAGACCAGGTGACCAAGGTCATGGTGGTGAGGTCAAGAGAGGCTTGAAGTGGTTTAGTGAAGTTGTGAATCTGACTTTGCTGATACAGAAGATGCAAGCAGAATGTCTATATAGCCATGATGTAAGTGTCTGGAGGAGGGTGAACCTTGAGTTGATATGTGTGCCAGATTGGTTTACTGAAGTTACTGTAGTGATGTTGAGAGCCTGTCAAGCATCAACAGATGAGCCATTCTCCTTGCTTCAGTTACAGTCATTTATGAGTGACTTTCTTAAAAGCAAATCTAGTGGCTCTTGAGCTCATCTTTTTTTTCTTTGGCAGCAATGTTTGTGATTGGCTTTTTTATGTTGTACTTTACATTTTTGAGGTGATTTGTTTTGTAGGACAGGTGTGATGCTCAGAGCCCCTGTGCAAAATATGACTTTCATTTTTGGTCTTGCTTTCTTAGTGTTCATATCCAGTTGACATGGAGAGTCAATCAGAAATAGATCTAATTTGAAGTGGAGTATCTTGCAATAAAAAACAATTGAAATTAAGATAGAAGAAATCCAAATCAATCATTAACAATTACAATATGACAACCTTCTCCATTAACTTAGGCAAAATTTGGTTGGAGAAAATATTATGTTCATAATGGATCCAGAAGGTAAACTGCAGGCAACAAAAACAGGTTAATCTCAAGAAAGAATCTCATTTATCACCAAGTGTTTCAAATGGACTTCACAGATAAGTCTACAGTTTAAACCAAATCAACAAAGAGTAATCATATTCAGGAAATGTTAAAAATTTTCATTGTTTTTTTTGGTTTTAACTTTTGAATGATAAACTTCAAAGACAATAAATCATGGCGATTAATCATGATGAAATCTTAAACAAATATGGCACAGCAAAAATAATTTGTCAATTCTTCTGTTACAACCTATTTTATTACTGTCCAAAAATTTCTTTCATGAGCTCATCTCGTTTGCAGTCAATTCTTTTCACTTTTTCATCACTAACATATTATCAATTCACTCAATATATCAGCCAGTTGTTGGTAAATCCATTCTGCAATTTAATTTTAACATTATCCTTCCATCCCCATCAACTGTTAATTTTTTCAGGATCTTGAAATATTGCTGTTTTTTTTTTTTTGCTTTTTTTTAAATATTTAAGCAGATTAGATTTTCTTTCATTCAATCTTCTCTTTCCTGTTTACAACTATGAAACAAGTTAAATTTACTCTCTCTCTGCCGCCTTTGTCCACTCTGTCTCTCTGCCGCCTTTGTCCACTCTGTCTCTCTGCCGCCTTTGTCCACTCTGTCTCTCTGCCGCCTTTGTCCACTCTGTCTCTCTGCCGCCTTTGTCCACTCTCTCTCTCTGCCGCCTTTGTCCACTGTCTCTCTGCCGCCTTTTGTCCACTCTCTCTCTGCCGCCTTTGTCCTCTCTCTCTCTCTCTGCCGCCTTTGTCCACTCTCTCTCTCTGCCGCCTTTGTCCACTCTCTCTCTCTGCCGCCTTTGTCCACTCTCTCTCTCTCTGCCGCCTTTGTCCACTCTCTCTCTCTTTGTCCACTCCTTTGTCCCTTTCTCTCTCTCTCTGCCGCCTTTGTCCCTCTCTCTCTCTCTCTCTGCCGCTTTTGTCCACTCTCTCTCTCTCTCTCCGCCTTTGTCCACTCTCTCTCTCTCTCTGCCGCCTTTGTCCACTCTCTCTCTCTCTCTTGCCGCCTTTCCCACCTCTCTCTCTCTGCCGCCTTTGTCCCTCTCTCTCTCTCTCTCCGCCTTTGTCCACTCTCTCTCTCTCTGCCGCCTTTGTCCACTCTCTCTCTCTTGTCTCTCTCTCTCTCTGCCGCCTTTGTCCACTCTCTCTCTCTCTCTCTGCCGCCTTTGTCCACTCTCTCTCTCTCTCTCTGCCGCCTTTGTCCACTCTCTCTCTCTCTCTGCCGCCTTTGTCCACTCTCTCTCTCTCTCTGCCGCCTTTGTCCCTCTCTCTCTCTCTCTCTGCAGCCTTTGTCCAGCCGCCTTTGTCCACTCTCTCTCTCTCTCTCTCTGCCTTTTTGTCCACTCTCTCTCTCTGCAGCCTTTGCAGCCTTTCCTCTCTCTCTGCAGCCTTTGTCCACTCTCCTACTCTCCTCCTCACCCTTCACTACATGCTCTCCTCCTCACCCTCTCACTCTCATTCATTTATATTATTTCTCTTTTGTTCTTTTGGCTTTTTTTGTGATTTTCTTGATCTTTCTTTTACCTTTTTATCTTTGCCACTTTCTCTCATTTTTGCCTTTTTTACTCTTTCAACATTTTCTTTCTCTTATGGAATTAACACATTAATTCCATCTACATCTTACGCGCGCGAGTTTTCCTCCCTTCCTTTCACACTTGCACCCCTGCCTCTCTCTTACAGTTAGACGTAGCAGTAAACGTCCTTTAACTAGTGAGGAAGCTCGCTGGCTCCTACTGATGAAGTCAGCCTAACAGATTTTGAATTTTTTCCCGCGCATTTCTCGGCGTCTCAAATGAACAGCGTGTGCAAGCCAGTTGCCTCCCGACTTTCGACCTAACTAGACAGGCAACTCATTTATTCCATGCCCTTAACCCATATGCGGGCCGGAATATCTTATTTCAACAATGTCGACCTCACACTGTACCAAGACTTCTTCTCGTCTTGAAGCTGCCCGCAGGTCAGACCTTCTCCGTTTTCGACCAGAAGACGTTCGAGACACACGACACAGTCGTGAGCAAAACTTCGTATTCAACAAGTGGCTTATTTTTATCCCTCGTCAGTCAACCTTAAATACAGACAGGGATATCTTACTGACGAACAAACTTGCTACCAGCAGGTCAGACCTTCTCCGTTTTCTGATAGAAAATGTGCGAGACACACGACACAGTCGTGGGCAAATTTTCGTATTCAACAAGTGACTTATTTTATCCCTCGTCAGTCAACCTTAAATACAGACAGGGATATCTTACTGGCGAACAGATATTCTTCGTCCCTTCTGGACTCGCCATAAGTAACTTCACATAGACGATGCAACCAACTGCAAACAACTCTTCGTCCTTTTGGCTAGACATCCACAGCAATCCGTTAAAATTTTCAACAGTTAATTCAAGGCCTGACCAAACTCTGAAACGACTGAACTTTCTCTCTACTTTGAACCTGAACATAAAAAAGGATAAAAAAAAACACAAAAATCACATACACTCTCAACGCCAAAAATCCACAGTGAGTACTCCTTTCTATCTGTGCGCACTTACACCTCTGTTAACGAGTACGTTTTTCCAGAACCTTATAAAACTCTTTTTCTCGCCTTGTTCACCTTGCTATCCTATTTTGGCGCGGAACATTTTCTTTGATCTCGTACCACAAGATACCTACTTGTTTTCCATCTAATAAAAATTACACATGTTTTGCATCCAGACGCCTTTGTCATTTTATTCCGGCTATCTCTTTGATGTTTATAATTTATGCACTCGTTGATTGACCCCTTTCCTCTCACTGTTCATTCACACATTTTTTATACATTGTTTGTGGACTCGGTAGTTTAGTGTAGTGTCTGGCACAAGGCCACTTAGTAATAAACCAGCACTGCACCCTATCGGGTCTGCAACACTCTTTTTGACTGACAATTTACATGGATCTTCCTCTCCTGTATCTTTATACCCCACTTTTTTTTTCTATTTTGACACTTTCTTTCTTGCTTTCATTTCATTTTCTTACTCACTTTTGGATATTTCTCTTTTTCACTCTTATACTTTTCACACTCTCACTTACCTTTCTCTGCTTCATTTTTCTTTTTCATCCTCCACACCTCTTACCCTCAGTCCCACTTTTCTCAATTCTATTCAAATATATAAAACTGCTTTCTTCATAACTGTAGTATCAATGACTGAAGAGCATGACTTGAACAAACTTTGATTGTTTGCACTTAATACAGGAACAAGTAACATCTCTATCTACTATATAGCCAAAGCTATTAGGTATATTTTGTACCTATTACTTTCAATAGATTCATTACATATGCAAATGATACAGTGTTGATAGCAGGCACCAAAAGGAAACTACAATAACTCTTGCAGAAATTAGTAAAAGAAAGGAAGAACTAAGTATCAATTGTAAGAAGAAAAATGTATGGTTGTTAGTAAAATGAAGAGCTTAACATGTAAATTACAAATTGGAGATGTCAAAATCAAGCAAATCCAAAAATTTAAATATCAATGAGTGTAACATTAAAATCCAAAGGTACATAATGATAGTGAAAGATGCCTTCCAGAAGCTAACTAAAGTATTAAGAAACAGAATAATTTCACTGAAAACAAAAGAAAGAGAACTCCTATATGGCAGCAAATGCTGAGCAATCTCCTTGCAGATGAAGAAAAGACTTGAGGCAATAGAAATGTGATTCTACATAAGGATGCTGAGGACACCATGGAAAGAAGATATGATTCAATGACAATGTCATAAGGAAAATAGAAACAAAAGTACATTTAGTATGTGAAAGAGAAAACTGAAATTCCTAGGCCACATAATGAGGAAAGTGGGTTTAGAAAATTTGATACATAACCTACCAAAAAAGCTTGTGTAAATGATTGTCAGAAAAGGGATTAGGAGAGATAGCAAAATAACAAACTTTATTATGAGCTATAAAAGATAGGAAATTGTGGAGAGTCATTATCGCTCATGTCCTGAAGTTACATATGGCAAAGAATAGAAATTGCAATTTGCTCTTACTTTCTTCAGTAGACTAGTTTCCAACCAAGGCTATAAGACGTAGTCAGTCCTATTTAACCCATACCTGGTTGGGGAGAATAGATAGATTCATACATTTCCCAAGGATATTTGCACGTAAGTGAATGTAATTGAAAATTGAAATTTGAACACTGCTCTCCGATTTCTTATTCTGAGCTGTTATCCATCGTGCCACACATACAGTCAAGTTTACAATATCTGGTATTCTCCAGTGGTAACCCAAGCTCAACATTGCTTAATCTTGGTGATCAGATGAGAACTAGTATTTCAACATGATAATGCCGTAAGCCTTTAAGTAATAATATTTTATAACTGCGTTGCCTCATCTTCTTCTCAGCTTTAAACCATCCAAAACTAAATGGGAGTAAGAAAATTGTGTTTTTACAAAGTGGAGGCCCTACTCATTGCACCCCATGCAAGGCACTAAAGCCACTAAGACACAAGGGGGTTACTGAGTGCAAAAGAGTAAGAAAACGAAAACACTATTAAGGAGTGAGAACAATAAATGAGTAATCAAGAAGACAATATATAATGATTGACATTGCACTTAAATTTTTGAAAATCAAAGTTGGCTGGAAAGCATGGAGCCAGAAGACTTCCACAAGAGTTGAGAAAAGAAACTGTTTCTATAGAACTTAGTTACATCTAGCCATTTCAACTGTAAAATGATTATACTTTGTTGCTGATTTAGTACTGCATAAAGCCGAGATACTATAGCAAAGCAATCATCTGAAAAATTACCATGAAAATATTTATAGAAAGAGCACAAGGAAGATTCGTTATGACATTGGGAAAATAACTGAAGCCAAGACACCAGGTCAGGACCCATAATATAGCTGCTTCTTCTTTAGATTTTATCAAAAAGCTCTAAATATATAGAAGAAGCACTGGACCATATGTGGCATCAATAGTCAAAGCATGGATAAATAAGTGAACCATCTTATCTACAGACCTAACAGTAGATTCAATATAGTTTTTCCACTTCATGTCAGCTGAGAAGGTGCAATGAATCACTCTCCTGGAGATTAGCATCAGTCATGCTGATGGAAGGCAGAAAGGGTTTTCTCAGATGATTAATAACAAGCAGTTTCATTTTTGGAGGTGCTGGAATTAACAAGCCATTCCTTGCCTCAGTTAACCAACAGACTGTAGATCATAACCAGAAATTCTGGATTCAAACCTCTGTCTTTGGAAAGTAATTCTCTCTATCCAATGGAAAACAGTTAAACTATGAAGCCCAACCTATCTCTTCAGTAATTATTTAAATTATATTTACATTATTTAATTTTTCTTTTATGTGCCATGTTCCTTCAGGATGTTGGTGATCATGGCTCTCCAAAATTTTTTGTCCTTCGTAGATATTAATAAATTTTGTCATTCTGTTATCTCTTAAACTCTCTTCTGTCATCCATTTACTCAAGCTCTTTTGATAGGTTATGTGTTGTTTTCCTCTTTCCCTCTTGTTTTCAATCTGTTTTGTGATTATCAAATTTTTCAAGTTTTCTTTCCTTATGTTCCCAACAAATTTCAACTGTTTCTTTCTGGTGTTAAGTACAAGTGTCATTTTTGTTTGACTTTTAACAATAAAATTATTTAAAATAATATCTATATATAATGTCAGTTGTATTTGTTTAGTTTTTGCCTGTAGTGTTAGTAACTTTTTACTAGCAATGCCACATGGTCGTATCTTGAGACTGTTTCAATGTTTTGAACAGTAAATATATGAAAGTGAACTGATCTCGCAATTTTCTATAGTTAACCTCAGACCGAGCTCATACAATATTACCAATCATTGCAAAAGTAGTAATAGCACAATGCCATATATGCCTTATTATTCAATGTGTATAGTAGGCTTTAATTCCAACAACCATAATGCAGTTTGTTTACACAACCATTTATTTCTCTATCATTCAATGTGATTACATTTGTTTATTGTGGACGCTCATTTCTTAGTGTGATTGAAAACTGTACATATATACACATTCAGATTTTAGGTGAAATGGCAACAATAAATTTATATATTCAAGCAAATATTAAAACAAAGCATTGAAAGAATACAAGAGTGAGTGATGTTTGTGACTAAATTAAAATTCTTGAAAGAGAAGAAAAGATTAAAATGAAGTAAGTCTTTCTAAGTGCTGTAAACCTAATCAATGCATGAGTGGTAAAGAGAGTGAATACATGCATAGTGAAAAAAGGAGACAGTAAATTTTCTTAACTGTCTCCTTGGAAGTGAGCATGCTGACAAAAGTTGAGTAATGCAGAATGGTATTTTTTTTTTATTGTCAACAATCAATGAACTAACCCTTCCAAGGTGAGGACAGTTACAGGATTTGGGTTGCCGATTTAGTCATTTTATCTTTTCTCAACAATCAAGATTAGAGGTCCTGAGAAATAAATTTGGGTGATTTTATTGTCCCATAATTTGTCCTTCAAATCATGTGTGGTATTTACACATACGTCCACATGTGGAAAGAATTTCTGTGGCTATGGGCTTGTGTATTGATCCAATCTTTAGCATTGTGTAGTGATTTATTTTTTTAACATTGATGAACATGTCTTAAATTTTGGAGGCTTGACACGCTTTATTACAATGGCCTTTTTAAAATGTAGTCTTAAAAGAAAAAAAAAAGAAAACACATCTTTTATTTTGTCATT